CCAAATGAGTCCCTGTGGCAAGATCTACCACAAGAAGGTTGTGTTAATCCCCTGTCTCTTTGCTCAGAGTAGAAGGTTCATCCTGGTGCTGCAAACTGTCAGCTGCCTCTCCACACCTGACCACCACTTAAAACCTGAGTCCTATCAGCCCCAGATTCACCAATACCCCAAACTGCTGATTTGCCAGGCCCAGAATTTGCTTCTCACCCTCCCTGTGGCAAGATCTACCACAAGAAGGTTGTGTTAATCCCCTGTCTCTTTGCTCAGAGTAGAAGGTTCATCCTGGTGCTGCAAACTGTCAGCTGCCTCTCCACACCTGACCACCACTTAAAACCTGAGTCCTATCAGCCCCAGATTCACCAATACCCCAAACTGCTGATTTGCCAGGCCCAGAATTTGCTTCTCACCCTGATTTGAATTGAGACTTCAGATCATGGTGTAAGATCACATCCAAGCAGGGTGGGCTGCCTTCCACAGGCTCTTGTGTGTGAGGAAGCCCAGACACCTCAACCACTGTAGCCAGAGGGATGTCAGGCAGCAGCCACACTTTGTCTACAGCTCTGGGTGCAGCAAAGACTCCTACAGGAACCCCATGTGCAGCCTCATGCTCAAGAGGCCATGCACAATTCCCCCGTGCTGGCTTGTCATGGCCACAGGCTGTGATTTCATGGGACCCTCATTGTCCTAACCACCCACCTGCTTTACTCTGTAGAACCTTGCTCCTTCTCTGTGTTCACAAACACACACAGGACCTTAAAGCCACAGAAGAGAAACAGACCCCTAGATAGCTTTGCTGATTTTTTTGGGGAAAAGCCTGGAGAGGGGTTGCTGCAGATCTAAAAAGCCAGGGCAAGCTGACAACTTCTCTGCTTCTCCCCACATGGGGACTACTGGGTATCAAACAAAACTTGTTTCCATTATCCAGACCTCGAGACACAGCCCTATACTTAGCAATTCCTGGTGCATGGAGAAATAGACCATCATCTGCAACTTCTAAGAACATCCACTGCTAGGAGGTGAAAGGAGCCTATTTTATAACCAAGACCACTAAAAACCCTGGTTAGAGGATGTTTTTCCACACCAGATCACAGAGATGACAAGGGGTCTATAAGGGTTATTGGGGCATATCCATTTCTGAAGGAAAAACCAGTGGGAGGCCCTCAAACCATGTCCCAGCAAAAGCTTTCACAAGAAAATGTGGTTCAGCAACTGTTTCACTGACATTACAAAAAAGCTTCCTAGAGAAGCTACAGCTTTGGGAATCCCATCGGGTGTTCCCTGACTCACCTGTAGCCTAAAGAGTCCATGGGGACAGGGGCCATGCCCAAGTTTTCACTGTAGTTTCGTGACTTTGTTGCATAGTTATGTGAATCTACATTCCAAGCAAAGCTGTTCTGCACTCGCTGCGTGGCCTCGGCCTCGATTTGCTCTTTTGGTTTCATCATGCTGTGGTGATGGATGTGGTGGTAGATATGTTTATGGTGGTATAAGTTCGCTGCATCCAGTTTCATTCCTGATTTTGTTGCGTGTTTCCCATGCCCTGGAGGAATTGTTCCTAGTGTCCCTGACAGCTTTCCTAAGTGGCCGCTTTCTGGGGACCGTGGCTTGGGAGAGTGACGGCCAGGCCCTGGAGACTGGCAGCCTGGTGTTTTCATCACACGCTGGACATGTTCATCAAGGATGCTTTCGGGGTTTTCTTCATGGGCATCTCTCACCTGCATCCCAGCACAGCCCATCTCAGCGTAACGGGGAGCAAAGTGATGAAAGGCTTGGGCGGAAGGCATCTTGTGGCTAATGATGGAGGGACCAGAAGAGATATCTGCATCCTCACCTTCTTCTTCCTGCAAGAAACATGGGGACAATCAGAGGATGATAGCAAGAGTGGTGGAAGAGGTCCTCAGTCCCACCTGCTGCTCACAGCAGGACTGCTGCCAACCCTGGGGTCAGGCCTGGCTTAGTCCAGATAGATCTTGAAAACCTTCAAGACGGAGATCCACCACCTCTCTGGAGACCTGTCCCAGACTGCCACCCTCCAGCAGAAAATTCCTAATGCTCAAACCAAGCCTGTGCAGTCAGGGTGCCAAAAAGCAGAGCTGCTCAGGTCTCTCTGTACCTGAGTTTTGAGCCACCATTAACAATGTTCTGCACACACTACCCGAAGAGACTGAGGTGAGCTCTGACAGGCAGTCACATACCTCAACCAGGGTTTACAGATGCAGCCTGCTGACAAGCCCAACACCTCCATCGGATGCGTGAGCAGGCAGAACCTTACTAAAAAGCTTCCCAAGTCCCTTGAAGATGGTTCGGTAACAACCACCAGCAGAAACACAACTTACCACACCGTCCCTGTGACTTCCTCTGTGCCTTTGGTAAGGCACTGCTTCAAAGCCCATCAGATAAAGCCCAGAGCTACAGGATATGTGGCAAATCACTTCTGAGTCAGGAGAGACTAGGAGGGTTCTCACCCAAATGACTATTCCACAAAGCAAAGCCAAGAGTGGGTTTGTAACAGGAGGGAGCAGCATGAATGGTTTTGAAAATCAAACTGATTTCTCCCAGGCATGCTAAGGTGGAGTGGAACCCTTCATGCAGAGAAGGAAACGGGTTGGAACTAACTGTTTGTTCTTGCAGTTCACACTGGTCTAGGACATGCTGTTAGCGACCCTTAAGTCCTTGCCAGGAGGAATTAAACTCCTCCATGCTGACAGCTACGGTTTTGATGCTGACGAACTACTTTATGCTCCAACATAAACTCAGATATTTATGAAGTTTCTTTATTGGAAGTCAGGATTCCTATTTGTTTTAATTACATAAGCAGGATTCCAGCAAGCCCTTTAATCCCACTCCTTTTCCTCCTCTGGCACAGTAAAGAAATCAGCTGCAGCACAGGGTATCTCTGCCCTGCCAGATAAATACACCTACTGGAGAACACTGACTCCCATCAGCTTTGCCTGTCAGATGCCATCATCCATCACTTGATAACCAGCTTCAAAGTTTCAGCTGCCAACCACACAGCAAGAAAGTAAATAGCAGACTTCCTCCCAGTGTCACACACCTGGGGGTTCTGACCTGAAACAGGGACAGTGACAGGCTTTAAAAGTGCCAGAGCTGTGGGTGCTCCAAGCCTGGGGGTGTGACATGATGCCTGTGTCTGGAGGGGACACCACCTTCTCACAGATTGCTCTGAGGAACTCCAGAGGCACCTTTTAACCACAGCCACACACTGCAGCCTGCCAGCCACCCGCCCTGGGCACCAAGCTCAGGGGCAGGACACAATAAGGCATGTGCTGACTAAATCCCTGCCACTGGGGCCAGCATTTATTAGCAGTGCATGATAACCCAGTGATACACTCAGCACTTGGGAGGCTTTTAGGGCTGGTACCTCTCAGGTTTAAATACTAACTGATGTGCTGGGCAGGCTCTGACCCTGGCACAGGCCCCTGAGGAATGGCAGCACATCCTTTCTACTCAGAGCAAGAGCTCTGGCAGTGCTTTCACACCGGAGTAGGGCGGCATGAGAGTGGCAACCCAGGGTGTTCCAGCCAAATGGGTGACTGGGATTCGGGAAATCCTCTGGCTGCCTGGAACCCCATTTTGCAGATAACACAGACTTTTGCTTCAAGAATGAGATCAGGCCTCAGGCTCACATCAGGTAGGAAAGCCCCAACAGTGAGACAAAGACAGTGAACGAAGGAATTGGGGTGACTATCCCAAGCTGTCCTCTCTCCTTGAGCAGGACACAGGTTCAAGTCAAGGCTGCAGGTACCAATTCTGCTGAATCTTTTCACTGTGCTTAGTCTACAGTGAAGAAACTGATATATGTGGTGTGGGCTCTGGAGTGTTCTGACACCTCACTGCAGTGAGCTGGGCAAGGTTTGGTGGTGAGCTGGGCAGAACTTGGTGGTGAGCTGGGCAAAGTTTGGCCGTGAGCTGGACAAAGCATCGCAGAGAGCTAGACAAAGCCTGGCAGTGAGCTGGGCAAAGCTTGGTGGAGAGCTGGGCACAGCCCAGCAGTGAAATGGGCAAAGCTTGGAGGTGAGCTGGACAAAGCCTGGCAGTGAGCTGGGCAAAGTTTGGCAGTGAGCTCGACAAAGCTTGGAGGTGAGCTGGGCACAGCCTGGCAGCACGCACAGCCTCCAGGCAGGTGGGGAACCCCCGGGTGCCATAACCACTAGATGGTGCTTTGTTGACATAATATTGTCAGAAAGCTCTTCCACCAGCTCCCACAGGCAGCGGCAGTGGGAGAGATGCAGGTTCCAACTTTGCTGACTGTCTTGCTGAGCTATTTTTACTCCCCAGCAAGGCTGGGGGTGCCCTTCCCTTTGAATTAGGAGGCTGAGAGCTGCACTGATGAGCTACGGGCAAGCGATACCTTGCAGCAAACCTCCTCTGCCTTCTCCCAGTCCCACCCATCTGGCTGCTGCTGGGCGGTAAGAGAAAACAGCTCTCCTAAGCACGAGTGCCCCTTCCACCATCATGCAAACGACTTCCCTCTCTACTCAGGCAATGTTTTATATTCAAATAGTGAGAATCTCAGCGGTGGCTTTGCTTCTCCTGGCTTATTTTCCATTCACTCAGTTCAGAGTGATCTGTATGATTTGATACTGGTCTGATGCTGTGGCTTCCATGCACGGACATGAGGCTGAAGTGCCTCAAAAACTAATATGGGAACATGCGTATCCTCTAATCCTCTCCCACACTGCTCAGAATAATGAACAAATTCAGAGTTTGCTTTTTTTTTAAAACAGAAATCTGTCAGTCTTTTCAGTAAAAGGCATTTGGCTTTACATCAGATGCCTCTTCTCGATGTTACTGCATGATGTGTCTTTGACAGGGAACCTTCATGCAGCTCAGTATGGGGGAGAAAAAGTCTTTTTTCCTAGCTTTTGCAAAATATTTCCAGCCTCTCTGCTAAGCTGATAAATGCCTAGTGTGACTAATGCTCGTGGTTTCCCTGTACTGCTGTGCAGTGAGCCATGCAGACCTGGGAAAAGGTTACCCTGTAGTCCTGGTGTTCAGGTCACAGAAAAAAAGCCCTGTGATCTATCAGGATTCCAGCTCTCCCTCTTGCTGATACCAGCAGCTCCTGCACCTTAAGTGCTGACCTAAAAAAGCTACAATTGCTTACTCTTGAGTTTTTCCTGAATGGCTAATGTCAGATGCCAGCCAGTCAATGAAATACATTCTGGAGACAGCAAAGAGGTTTAATATATAGCATTAGTGGAAGTCTTGGGCTTAAAAATAGATTAAGTCACACAAAAATGTGTTTAAACAGACTTAAATTTATTCTCTGGCACATAGGTATTTGCTGATTTTATGGTATTGCTACTGGCAGCTTCTTCAAGGAGGCAGAGAGCTGGGATAATGCAGTCTGGTACAGGTTGGGGCTGCAATGGAGCCACAGGGGGAGGATGAAGGGGAGGAGGAGGAGGAGGAAGAGTGTTCTAGGACTTTGTTGGCAGAAAATGCTGTTGGTTACATTGGCTTTGTCTAGAAAGCAACAGTCACCAGACAGGACAATGGAGCAATTCCAGAAGAACAGGAATCTAATCACAAAATAGCACCTCACTGGCTTTTTCTGGCTGGATGCAGAGGTGCAGGGAGTTTGCTGGAAAACGCCTAGAGCTGGGGGGGACCTTACAGATCCTTTTGCCACCCTCACTTCTCTGCATTTGAAATGCAGATGTGATTTCATGCAAGCACTACAACCCACAGCTCTTTTCTGTTTGAAGAGTTACTAGATCAACATTTTAAAATACTCCAGTGGGGGCTGAAGGTTCTTTCCCGGAGCCCTAGAGGCTCAACTTCCCTGAAAGCACAGAGCCAGCTGAGCCAGGCACCAACACCTTTGCTTTAAGGGAGAGCTGCAGGTTACTGAGCACAGAGCCTTTGCCTCAGGGCCACAGCAGCTATTAACTGCAGAGAGCCACAATTTCCTCACGCAGGGCTGTAGTTACACTGACACTGGTGATGTTCAGTAACACCATGGTGTCCTCCAGAATCTCTGCTGTAACCCCACCACAAGCTGCACAGGTACCCACGAGCTGCAGTGTCTCAGAAGATACAGTGTGCATACTGCTGAAGAGGGTTCTCACACAGGTGATACCAGATGACCAATACTTTGCTGTCTCCCTTTTGGAGCATGTTGTGGAGCTAAAGGCCTTGCACACTTTCCCTGGTTCATTTAAAAAATCCTCAGGCTCTGAAGGGCCCCAGCAGAACCACAGCTCACAGCACTCAGTGCCACTGGCTGGGCATCCCCAGCCACCCACACAGAGTCAGTGTGTTTCTCTGCCCAGGAGAGGGATCACTTCCAAAATTTCTAGGGATGTGCTAGGCACTGTTGGGCAGAACCCAAACAGCCTGATAGCAGACACAAACACCTCCAAGCATAACATCACCTGCCATCTGGTAACCATTTGTGGGGGAAACAGGGATCCCACAAAACGCCTAGGGGAAGGTAAACCCCAGTGACAGAGTCTCCAGCTTCATACGGAAGGGACTGCTCACAAAGCGAGGAGAGAGAAGGTGATGGAGAGCATCCATAGCCCCTAACTGGTGGCAGAAGTGGGCACTGCTGTGCCACAACTGATATCTTACAGCTGGGAGGAAGCACTGGAGCTCACAGAGTCCTGCATGGACAGGGGAACAGCATCGTAGAAGCTCCTAGGCAACGGGAGCCTCCTGGAGCCCCATGCAAGTGAGGACCATGGCTGTTGGAGCAGGGAACTGGTCACCCCAGTTGCTTCCCCAGCAGCTGAAAGCTCCCTGTGGTATAAACAGACTCTCAGGCTGGTAGAGTAGGCAAGAAGGTTACTGACCGCTCGAACACGTTTAAGGCGCTCCTCTAATTTCTCCTCTGCTTCACGTTCCTTCTGTACTTCCTCCAAACGATTGATCAGTTCTGCAGCAAACTTCTCTGGTTCAACGTGGATATCCTTTGGCATTCGGTATGTACGCTGCAGGGGAAACACAGCAGGGTTAGTGAAAGCTGCATGAAAAACGACACGTTTCTTCTGGAGGCTTTGCTAACTGGAAATGCCGGTCGTTCCGCTGGGGAGCTGAGGAAGGACAGGCTGCCAGGCACTGAGCTGCAGCCCAGGACCTGGGGGCTGGAAGCTGAGCCTCCCCCATGAGCTCCTGAGCTGGCACCAGCTCCACACATCACCCCTTGTAAGGGAAAAGTTTTCTGGAGCCGCAATTCAACAAGCTCTTTTGGCACCAAACTCCACTTAGGGATGGATATGCTCTTCTTCCAATGTACACATGGTCAACAGGAACATCCTGATCTCAAAGGGTGGGAAAAGGATGTACAGACCTCTCAACTTCTCATGGATCATGTTTATAGCAGTGCTGCTTTCACTCTGATAGAAAGGAGGACTCTGATACACACTTACTCAGCCCATCCCAGAAGGAGCAGTGTATGCCAGTCAATCTCTGCAAATCCAGCCCAGAGCCACAAAAGGCCCCAGTTCCCACAAAGCATCCTCCCTCACCAGAGGATCCTACAGGGCTGCATCTTGGCTCTTCAGAGCTGTGCAACGATCCCCTGCTTGCTTTATCAATACAGCACCCTCACAAGCACAGAGATGCCATTTTTCTGCTTGCTCTGGGTGAATAAATGAATATTTATGGTAGTTCAAGGACATTCTTGATTCCTTATGCTGAGTTACTTTGTCCCTAAATTCCTGAGCTCTGGGATAAGAAATTTGTGAAGTATGAATCTATCAGCTGCTGTATTTGCCTCCTCATTTTTATCCCTTCTGTATTATTTTGCTAAAATTGTAGAAAAAATGACACAGCAGAGATAAAAATTTAATTTGGAGGAAAAAATAGTTGGAAAATTCAACAGCATAAAACCCTGCATTCAAATATTTCAATACCAACATGAGAGAAATACACACTCTATAGGACCAGAGATAAAATTAAATGTGAAGACATGAGATAATTCACAGCAAAAGAACAAATGCAGCATCAGAAGCAGACATCGAGCTGGAAAAGTTTAAAGGAGGATGAGAGACCACCAGAATTTATCCCAGACCAGCCAAAAGATCAAAGCAGAAGACTAAAATAGTGCTTTGCCTCAAAACCTGACAAAAGTATGCAAATTGTATTGGCTTTTCTGTCCCTGCCAGCTGTCGGGTGGGAGGAGGGAAGAACCCCAGAGGCAGTAAAGACCCCACTGAGGGCACCAAGGAGCTGAGGACATCTTTCACGACACCCCAGCTGGGCTGCAGAGGTCCCAGTTAAAGCACCACTTATTTTGTTTGCCAAGAGGAATGGGTTTTCCTGACCCTGCCAGCAAATCTCAGTCCCAGTGACCCCTTTGAGCTGGGAACAACCCCAACCAACCTTCCCCTTCATCCACGTTGGCTGAAGAGAGCACAACACGTGAGCTACCAGGTGGCTCCAACCCTGGGATGACAACATTGCTGCCACCAGGACCTCCAGCCCTGCAATCAGTGGCACGTATTAAAAAAACCAAACCAAACCAAAAACACTGCAGAAAAAGATTTTCATCAAAAAAATGTTTAGTCTTGAAATACTGGCACAGGGGTCAAAGCCACATGCTTCACCTTTCTGCTGTCCACAAATGGGCCCCAGTCATGCTCCAGCACGGGGGAAGATGTGGCAGAGCTGGTTCCTGCTCTGTTACTCCCTGAGGAGCTTCTAGGATGCAAGTGATGTCTCCCTGTTGCCCTGCATAGCCCAGGGGAGCACTTCTGGCTAAGGGAGCCTGCTTCCCTCTGAAATCCCAAACCCATGACCACCACCCTGTGGGGCAGTGCCAGCAATTCCCAAGGAGAGAAACCTCTCTCTTGCCTGACAAGTCCCAACCTGCTGGGTGATGTGTTCCCTCCCTCCTGCCACCTCAGACAGGACAACTCCCCCTGTGGTTGTTTGTACGAGGGCAGCACCGAGCCCTGCTCCGTTAGACACCTAATGAACCTAATGAGAGGCAGCTCAGAGCTCAGCAGGTACAGTCTTGGGTCTCCTCATTGCAGCTACCACAGGAAAACACAAATGGGAAATAATTTCTCTTTATTTTCCTAGCTTCTGATGCAATGCAGCATCCCAAACCAAAGGCTCTCCCAAGCCTCTGGCAGCAGTGGGTGCAAAGAGGGAAGCTTGCTAACCTGTCTGAGTCCTGTTCCAATAAGGTGGTTCTCTTCTGGCCCAGTAATGCTTATTGACCACAGCTCTGTTTCTGATGAGGATCTGAAGACATTCACTGCTGTACCCAGGGAACTCAAGATAAGACAATTCTGGACTTTTACAACTAATACCTCAGCATGTTTATCAACAGTTTCTTAAAGTCTGGAGGTGATTGAAGCTCAACTACAGAAAGTACAATAATCAAACCCAAGGATCTTTAGGATGAACTAATTTTCCTCTCTTTGAAAAAATGCTGCATCTGCAAAACCCACTGCCCTGTCCTTGGAGCCTCCCACTCAGCACCACAGCTTGCAGAGGTCTCAGCAGCCTGTCTGAGGGTGCAAGATGCAGCCCCTTCTGTGCAACCATCTCTGCAAGGGTCTCCCTGAGCATCCAAGTTCAGTGCACCTGAAACAAACCTCACTTTGCCCCACAGATACTGGTTGCACGTGCCCTGTGTTGTCCTGGCAGGTACCTGTAAGGGTGACTCACAGAGCTGACAAGCAGGATGATGCTCTGTACATTGCCATAGGTCTGACTTTATTGCTAGCTCAAAGAATGAGCTACACAGACTTCCCCAAAACTAAGAGTACTGCAGAATAATGAATGCAAATTCCCTGTGCTGAAATAATGCAGATAACTGCCGAGGGCTCTCTCTATCTCCCTGAACAGCAAACATGGATTGCACTGACCTGGTTCAAAAGGCTTAAGACAACAAAGTGTTTGAAACTTTTATCAAATGATGGGCCTTACTTCAGACAGGGAGACATGGGAGACAGGCTCCATCAAACACCAGCCAGGCTGAGCCTGTGCCCAGAGCAGGATCCTTCAGGGCCTTGAACCTGCCCCCAGCTTCCCATGAGCATAGAGTCCTGCCAAGGGAGTCACAAATAAGCTGTTTATTGTTCTGAAATCAGAAGAGCTTCAAATGCTTTTGTTCCAAATAAAGGGTGTGGGCACTTTCCAAGAGCTAGCTGGTTTTGGAGGATCCTGCCTTCCAGTCTGGACTAGAATGAGATCTCTGGGCACTTGGCATCAACCACTCAGAAAGCAAACACCTCATTTTTGAAGAATTGTTTATCTACAGCTGTTGCATCTAATGTTTTATTTAATTGCCTATCTGTGTTTATTTAGAGCCACTAGTTCAGAAAGGTCTGCTCTGAACCAAACCACACTTACTTGGAGAGGCTGCAGAGGACAACAGACATGAGGCTGATTGGCAAAACCAGAAATTGCTTGAACTGGTCGGGATGGAGCAATCTTTGCTAGTGACAGCTTTGAGGAAGGATTCCTTGAGGTACCTACCACCAGAACATCGTCCTTGACATGTGAAGTGTCTGAAGCTCCGGTACCCTGGGAAAGAAGCAGCCTGCTAAGAACATGTGAGACACACAGGCTCTCCAGCAGTTCCATTTAGCATCCACTCTCATCTTTTCTCCTTCTTTTCTTGGAGCTGATGGAGTGGGAGTTGCATGGATTTTGTAATGTTTTCCAGCATTATATTGGGCAGAGGTTCCTACCCAATCCCAAGGAACGACAGGTTGGACTGAACTGTTTCTGACAGATCTGACTGGGCCAAAGAATTCTGTGCTGGTAAATCTCCCTCATCTACAGGAGGTTTGATGCCTCCACGATGCCTGAGTGGTTGATGTTAGATCACAAGTCTGACTTGGAAATGAAAGAAGAGAGCAGGCTAGAGAAGCTAAGAGAATAGAAGTTCTGAACCTCCATGTCTCTCCGATTAATGCATTCCTCTGTGATGTGTCTGCAAGGGGAAAATGGTGTTTCTGTACCAGAAACACTCATGGCAGAGCTCATGGACTGCTGAGTTTCAGCATCCACTGGAGCAGCATTCAGGGATCAGGAAGGAGTCCCACTGCTGCAAGGCTAGTCAGGAAAATGGCATAAAACAGCCGATGGGAATTCTGACCAGGTTCTCAGCTCGCAGGGCAGAAAAGCTCATTTAGCCACAGGATAAGGCAGCACAAGACCAGGCTTCTCCTGGTACAGCTCCTCCTGTACACTTCTCATCTGTGGTCACTCACAATTTTTTGTTCCACTCCAGAACACTCCAGAAGCCATCTCACAGCATCCCTGATTGTGGGGCGGGACAGGAGGGCTCCCCCCATGAACCAACTACAGCCAGAACAGCACAAAATGGCTTCTTTATGCAGTTAAACAAACAAACCAAATCCCGAGTCTTAATGCTTGAGGTTGGATTTTTTCTGAATGTCCTGTGAAAAAGGGGGACCTCCCTCTCCTGGTAATGGATGAAGACCTGGGCTAAATACAGAGCAATAGCACAGGTACAGCCCTGTATTCTCCAGGCTTTCTCCCTTCCTTTGGGAACTTGTTGCTCTTTCCTTCCTTGGTGCTCCAAGACTCTGCTGAACTCCAAGCTATGGAAAACCACATGAAAACAACACTCACTCACTGTGTAATGTGCTCCTGCCAGAGGCACAAAACAGAGGTCTCTCTGCTTTGCTAGAGATCTTCACCCACTGCATTCCTGGGCAGAGTGCCACTTCACAGGACACAACTTTTCCAAACTTAGGGCACTGGTGAGTTGGTAAGTATGGAAGATCTGAGTTGGTGAGTGTGGAAGATGCAGATCACAGCCATCCACACACCATCTCCTGCTGCAGAGCAGGGTGTCCTACATACCCAGCACATGCTGTTGCTGTTTGGAGGCAGCACGGCTGTTGGAACTGGCAGGCACTCTCCTGTGAACATACAATCACTGCACTTTATAGCTTCTGGACCTAACTACAAGCGCTGCTATTAAAAGCAATGTTAAGTCCTTTCAGAATTTTGCATAATAGCCCCATAGCTCATTTGTCAGGGAACAGTAAGGTCTGTAAAGGACTTCTGCAATGACTTTCGGAAGTAAGAGCTTCTCTGC